GAAAGCCAGAACTGAGAGGCTTCAAGGTCAGGACGAGGAGGAGGTAGCTGTGGCCCTCAAGAGACTAGAGGAATCGGCCGGGCGCTGTGGCTCACGCCTGTAATCCTAGCTCTTGGGAGGCCGAGGCGGGCGGATTGCTCAAGGTCAGGAGTTCAAAACCAGCCTGAGCAAGAGCGAGACCCCCGTCTCTACTATAAATAGAAAGAAATTAATTGGCCAACTGATATATATATAAAAAAATTAGCCGGGCATGGTGGCGCATGCCTGTAGTCCCAGCTACCCGGGAGGCTGAGGCAGAAGGATCACTCGAGCCCAGGAGTTTGAGGTTGCTGTGAGCTAGGCTGACGCCACGGCACTCACTCTAGCCTGGGCAACAAAGCGAAAAAAAAAAAAAAAAAAAAAAAAAAGAGACTAGAGGAATGACGATGACTCAGAGGTCACTGTATGGATTAAGCATACTCCTTTCCCATCGAGGGCCTTAGCATGCTAGCTTTCTTCCCCCAACCTAGGGAATGAAAGCAGAAGAGGAGGCTGAATTGCAGGGTATAATTATGCACAATGGAAATTCAAATAAAGTTCACGTATGGAAATAAAAGTTAAATTTTTTTGCACAAAGCATTTGTGAACTCAAAATTCCAAGGGATTGAGCAGTGGGAAAGGCATGTTTTGTGGGGGAAAGGGAGCACGATTCCAAGTAGAAAGTCACAATTATAGGGTGGGTGGTTCTGGACAAGTTGTCACATACATCTCTCTCCTCTAACAAGAAAAGCGAGCTTCTTAATGGTAGGACTCTGGTTTAGTCATCTTCTCATTCCTGTTGTCTAATACAGCACCTGTGTCAATGGATACAATCCGTGTGTAGAATGAATAGATGAAGAAGGCAGGAAACGTTCAGCCTCTAATGAAAATAAGAAAAGAAAAGAAAAAAAAAGAAGGCAGGAAACGGAGGGTGGACAAACAGACATCAGAAATGGACTTTTCTCCTTCAGACTTCTGGCTACTGTGTGTAGTACAGAGTTCAGGCCACAGGCTGATCCAACATTCTAGTGAGCTCTTTACTCAGCTCAGTGCTGAGCTCCAAGAAGAAGGTGATAGGTAGAGGTTTGGGTTTGATAATACATCTCTAAGACCATCTATACAAGTGTATACTTCATTCTATTCTGTTGGTAGAAATACCAGATCAGTGAGTCGAGTAACTGATCTTTCTCTGTTGATTTAGAGCCCAGATACTGTCTCATTTAGTGGTGACTTTCCTTGTGAGGGTACATATTTCTCCTGCAGTTAAAATTGTTCTTAATCTCTATCTCCTCCTGTAATTACCTGCAAAGGATCTTTAAAAACATGATTCTTTTATTCAAAAACTAAAAAAACAGAAACAAATAATATGTGTCAGGGTTTTAATTGGAGAGGCAGGACCACGAGATAAAATATATTTTATATGTATATTATATGTAATAATATAAGTTTAGATGTTCATTGCAGGTATTATGCAATTATGTAGTTATGTAACACATGTAAAGAATTGCAGATGTGATGCACTTGTGAGAGCCGGGTAAACAGCCTCGGGAAGGCTGTTGCCTTCATATCTGATGCTGAACCACGCCTGCAGAGCAGGAAATCAGCAAGAGGTGGACGTACAGTAGGCTAGAGTGTGGGGACAAACGGGACCTATTGAGGACAGGCAAGAACCCATGTTGGTTGCTCACTACCTCCAACTATGGTAATGAGGGAGTCCCCCATGAAAAGCTGGAGTCCTTTGTCACAAAGAAAAACACATACCTGGATTTGGGGAGGATCCCACAGCAAGGAGGGAATCCAACAGGTAGTGGCCACCCCAGTGGACCTCCCAACAGTCCTCCCAACAGGACCTCCCATTTTGCCTGAGTAAAATACTGCAAGACTGCCACTTCATGCCACCCTCCAAATCTCAGGCAAAATGTCTTGTGGCCCACTCTACCTGGATACCGACAACCTAGGCAAGTTGACATACTACAAAACCACCACACAAGTAATGCCAAGATTTGTTAAAGCCAGGCAGCGGGTACACAGGTGTTTGTTATATTGCTCTGTAGTCCCATCTGTATGTTTGAAATACTTCATGATTTAAAAATAATTTAAGGTGTGAATCCATTTACAGTCATTGTAGAACCCCTAGGAAAATGATGTCAAAACCTACCCCCCTCTACTGAAAAGAAAAGTTGACTTTTTGAAACCAGTGAAGACGTTATGTAAATGTAGCCCTTCTGGTGAATAAATTTACAGGCCAGGTGGAAGCTAACCTGGTGATTCCAATTTCATCTGTCTTCTTAAGTGTTTGCAAAGTAATACCATACCTTAACGTTAGCAGAAGAGATATAAGATAGGTTTTTGGTTGAAATTGGATTCCTGAGTACTCATTACACAAAATTAAACTGAGGTCATTACAGAGAATTAGCTACGTAGCTTGTAAGCCTGGACAAATAGACAACTTTTCCCCACCTTTACTGTTTTGCTACATACGCTTTGCTTATGAACTGGAAAGAACTACTTTGACCCTGTATATTTAAAAAATCTTATAAATATTTCTTCATGTGCTGAAGCAGAATACTATATAATGTTTGAAGTATTTTAATAATTCTTATTAGTCTCAACAATTAAGCACATTCACAAAGCTGGCTTTAAGATCACATCCCACTAAATTATGAACTACTCTACCAAACTATAAGCCAACATTGGAATTAAGTATAAATAGTCAAAATGAAAGCCACTGTTGCAGCCCTATTTTATAAGCAATGAGGAAAAATAACAGGACACCGGTTTTTCAGCTCTGGAACCCATGTTGCAATCTAGGCCTTCATTTGAAAGTCAAAATATATCATTCCAGCACTGAAGATAGGTTCTCTTGAAGTAAAAATAAAGAAGGCAAGTATTAAAATAAAATTGTTGGACATGCTTGCCAATCTCTTTTCTGGATTGTTATCATTTTCTTTCGAGTTTTTCCAGTGTTGATTTGATTCTGGGTATGTTATATTTAAAGTTTTTCTTCAGTCTGTAAAAATACATACAAATGAGTCAAACAATGCATAGAAATTTCAGGAAAAGAATAGAAGGCAGGGCTTTCATTAATTTGAGTGTGGGACACATTCTTGGCATGAAAGTTTCTTAAAATCAGAATTTGTTGCCTCTTTGGCTTAGTGACAATAATTGGGTAAATGCTATATCTCTCTTCTTTATTTTCCCTAGTTACCATGATTTACTCTTTTTTCCCCCTTTAAGAGACAGGGTCTCACGGTGCTGCCCAGGCTGGCCTCAAATTCCTGGGCTCAGGGAATCCTGCCTCAGCTTCCTGGGTAGCTGGGACTACAGGTGCATGCCATCACACCTGGCTAATTTTTTGTAGAGCTAGGGTCTCAGTTGAACTCCTGGCCTCAAGTGATTCTCCTGCCTCAGCCTCCCAGAATGCTAGGATTACAGGTGTGAGCCACTGCACTGGGCCTATGCTTTATTATTTTTTTTTATGCTTTATTTTTTAAAAAGACCCTACTCATCTCTCGCTGTTCTGAAATCCTCCCTGCTAGAGACAACTGTTAAAACTTTGCTATGTATCCTTTCATTTTTTTTCCATGAGATACATATTGAATAGGAAATTTGTGACTAACCTCAGGTACTTTTTAAAAACATTTTTGTTTTCAAATCGTATTTACCATCAAAGATTTAGAAATGCTAATATTTTTACAAAATATAAACTGACAAAAATAACAAACTAGACAGTTTCATTCTTCAACCCTCCCCAAAGAGCTCTTCATTTTAAGGCTGTATTTCCCAATTTTGACTCATTTGAAAACGGCCCTTATGGTTTTTGTCAACCCAGATACCATCTCTAATATTTGCCTTCATTATTTAATATCTTATTACTTAATATTCTTCCAATTGATATTTTCAAAAACCTGATTCCTCCTTTATCCTTGTTCTGAGTAGTGATACTGAAGTATAATAACACGTTTGTGCTGTTTTATTTTTTCTAACGCACATTAAAATAAATACATGACTATTAAAATTTAAAATGTTGATCCCTGTCCCTGGAAAGTCATCTTGGGGCCTCCTTCTAGTGTGTGTCCCATACTTTGAAAAACTGCTTTTAACAGGACCCTCCAAAAAATAGAGGTTCAAAAATCACTCAGCTATTTAGCAGGTTTGCGGGGAAGCAACAGGGAAGAGCCTCAGGGCATTGTGAGCTTAGGGGCTGGATAAAAAGTGTGAGCTTTTAAACAAGCTCCCAGGAAAATGCCCCAATTACTCCCAGGAGTCCTTAACTCTCAAGGGTCAGCCAGAAAGAACAGCTTTAATGTGCCACCTGGAAACCAGCCTAATGAGAATTTCCTGGCTTGAAACTCCCCAACCCTAATGACAGCCCTGTAACAGAACCACCAAGGCTAGCCTCAAATGTTAAGGCAATTCTAGGTGTATTCAGCTCAGGTGGTATCTTGTAAGAGCCAGGAAAACAACTGCTGAGGAAAAGGGGGAGGTGGTAGGAGGCTAGGTGAGAACAGGTGTGTGTCTCTCTGATCGCTTGTTTTTTCTAAGGGGGAAAAAGGTTTGAAAACAGGTCTGTTGGTGCTAAGTTAGAATAGCAAGTCTCCTTAGCTTTGCAGACCACTGGAGCCACACACTTTGTTCTGTCTTGTACTGTTTGCTTTTACTTAAATCTCTCTTGTGGCAATCTAACACATGGCAGAAAACATATCAGTAAGCATAATTTTATGCAAGCTAAAAATCTCTTCATATTAATTTCAGAGTCAGATGATTTGCTGAGAAAAATCCTAGCACAACAATGCCATTTATTTGTGACTTAAAAAACAAAAAACCTGGTTTCCCTGTTTGCTAAATACCAGTGTGGCTTGCTCAGCACTTGATGGGACCAGAAATCTTACAAAAAACCTTTGGTTCCCAGCTTGCTTTAGTCTATCTACCTTGCTGAGAAAAAAAACCCAAAAAACAAAAAACACCCACACATCAGCAGATGATGAGAAACTTGTCTTTATTGGGTAATTTTTAGAGGCATTGTCTGCGGAGGGCTGTACAGAAGTCATCAGGACATACCCACCACCCCCAAAAGTCATGAATGACTGTCTTATTACCTCGCTAAAACAATGAGCAAATTGCAGAAGCTTTTCAGGGGAGATTATAAATAAGATTGGGGCAGGATGTGGGGTTCTCCATTCCCAGGGCTTTGGAGGCCTTCCAACTGATTATCCCTTTCTCTCCTTACTCCAAAGACTGGGGCCTTTAAGAATGCACCATTTCCTGGAATTCTAGAACAAAAGAGGTGAGAACAGGGTCAGTGAAGGTGACTCAGTACTTTACAGACCTGCTGTGGCTGATGAGAGGGAAATATGAAGCAAATTGTCAGATAATGGGCATGGCCCCCTCAGAGGCCACAAAAGGAAGAAAAATGTGGGTGTCAATGACTGCAGGTCAATGGAGTCTACAGTGTTCCATCCTTCTGCATAATCTTATTTGGCAAACATCTTCAGCTTTGCAACAGTTCTTGTACTAGAACTTGTCAACCCAATCATTTCCCTTGGACAGTAAATGAACTCAGTATAATTGCCTATCACAATCTGTAAACAATTAACTTTCTGTCTGGTCAGTTTAAGACAGAAATGGAAGATTTTCTTCTATTCTGTAGCTGGGTATTGAAGTGTTAGAAAACATTTAATAGGGTAGGATTTTGAACTAGCTTTCCTCTGTTGAACCCTAACCCTACCCCCAAATGTTCCTATTACTAAGAGAAGGATAATAATAATGATGTGAGAATGCTATAGATTGAAATTGAGAACTGGGGATTTACTTTATATTTATTGGAGAGCTTTGCCTGTTGGGAAGTCTTTCATGGTTATGTTTAAATAAGCGAATCCTCCCTTACCTAATCTATTTTTCTGAGCTATCTATAGAAGCCGTATTAACTGCAGTGTAGTAAGTGATAGTGGTATCATTTTGAACAGGGTTTAAAAATAAGGACCTAATGTAGCAGTTTTTAATTTCAAATTAGCTCTACCAGAAGGACTACCATACGTTCTCCTGAGTTGGCAGGCACAAAGTAGCTAAAAAGCATGCTAGCAACATGACAAAAATCAAGTGAAAATAGTCCTACAGCTGTGCTAGTATGCTAACGTTTGAATCTAGGGCTCTGCACAGAAGATTCCATAAATGATAATGGAGTTATTTGTTGTGTTTAGCCCACTTGGTGGGCTAATGTCCAATAAATCATATTTGTTTAAACTTTTGAAAGCTAGGAGGCCTTCCTACATATTCCAATAGACTCTTTGGTTTGAGCCACACTTGAGAATGTCATTCCTTCCCTTAGAGGGGCTCAGATCAACTGGTGGAAATTTCTTGCATTATGTTCAAGGTGCATTAGGGCATCTTGCAAATAATTGGCCAGGTGGCTAGCCAGTTTTCTAGCCAGGTGAAGGATATTTTCTAGTTATTGACAACTACCAGTGGGACTAGCTTTTATGGCATATCCCAGGAATCATGCCAGAGTTTTTATACACATTTGTATACTCACTTTAATCCCATTTTACACTAATTAGATTGAAGCTCAACAAGGTTAAGAAAGGAGAATATTAACCCACATCTGTCTGATCCCATGGCCCAACCCCCTCAGATGCTCCCTGGTCTAAGGTGTGCTATGCCAAGTACAGGTGTGGACATACCCTCAGCCCCAATCTTTCCATCGCCATCATTGTCCGCAGCTGCCATCAAGGACTTGGTTTCTGACTCGGTCAGTTCTCTAGCACCACTCTCAAACTTCTGGAGGAAAAACCTACAGGATAATAAAGATGGTTGAAAGAGTATGCATTTCTGTGTTTACACTTTCTTTTGTCTTTAAGTAAATCATCCTTTTCTACCAGGTGCAATCATCAGTCAAGGTCTTAGCAAGCAAAGGTTTCCTTAAGCTGTAGAAACCAATGGTGGGTGTTTTATTTTTCTTTTTAAGAGTTTGTGGAAGTTTTGTTAAGTCCATTTGCCAAATGAAATCCCTTAAGCTAAAGAATCTTTGCACTGACGGGCTTAAGTGCCCGTGTTTGGTGCTTTGCATGGATAGATGTATGGCCAACTGACTCACGTCTTGCTTTAATGAGGCTTGGCCGAATGGCGAACACCAAGGCTTGCCATTGAAGAAATACTGAGAAAACTGGCCCCCACAGCACCCCAGCCCCACCCAACAATGACAGTGGGTGCCGGACAGCGTCAGGACAAAGCTTACTTAAGCTCTTCTTCATCCAGATATCCACTCTGGTCATTGTCTATGAACCGGAAAACGTCCTTCACCTGACTGGCCGACATCTTGGAGAGGCCTGATGTCTGGAAGAATTTTTGGGGTTCAAAAGTATCTGGGTCTGAAGAACAGAGAATGGGTTATTCTGATAATCATTGCATCATGTTCTGTATTTGGGCCAAGGTGCTGAAAACACAGGTTATTTCAAAAACTTCCATAATATCCCTGAGCTGCAGAGATGCTCAACTGGTTCAAGATTTCGAGTTTGCCAAGACTGGATGTCCCTGTGATAGCATCCCTGGGCCCCTCTTCTCCAGCTGTCCTGCTCCACTTGATTTTGTCCATCTCCCCTTTCTCTCCTCCTCTGCCCCCACCCAATTTACAGACTATGTATCCAAGTCCTCAACATCGCCGGTCTAATTGGCATGAGCAGATGCAATCACTGGATTCAAATAGGCTAAATGCCATTGCTGATTCTTTCCCCACTTATAGTAAATTTCTTTCATCTTATACAAATGCAATCACATGCTCAGATCCCAAATCTGTATAATTTTAGTTATCTTAATAATAGCAGTTTAATTCCCCAATTCCATGAATTTTCCAGCCACATTCACATTTTGATTTTTGTTGCTTCGCCAGAAGTGTGACAATGCGAGGAAAACCCACACCTGCTCCTGCCTCCTTTACCTTGGCATTCCTGCAGGGCCGCTGCAATGTCATCAGCACTAAGCACGTCGGTGATGCTCATTTTCCACCTGGTCACACGGAATAAACGAAATGTGGTAAACAACAAGCAGGGGGTATTATATCCTCCTAGGCTCAATGAAACTGTATGTGTGTCTGGAATTTTTTTAAATGTGATAAGCACAGCGTTGTGCTAAGTGATGGAACTGAATATCCAAATACAAACCAGGTACTGAAAAGGTCCCAGAACCCTTCATCTCAGTGCCTTCTCCTGAATCTACTCCAAGGATGAAATAAATACCAAATACAGAACTATTCAATTTGGTTTTCTTATGAAAAAATTATATTTATATAATTGATCACTTAGGCAGCTACAAACCATTCAGTAGTAAACCATATTACAAATGCAATAGCATTTTCATACAGCAGTCAGAGAAGTATAATGTTGCAAATTTCACATGAGAAAGGATACAGCTTGGGCTGCTTGTAGACCTTCTGTGGAAGACATGCTATCTGTCCTGAAGAGTGGGAATCAGATGAGTGAAAAGACCATCTCCCAGAGATAAAAATCCTACTGGGTGTCAAAGCCATGGGGAAAAGAGAAATCTGAGCATATCAGGCACAATTCTAATATGAATGCACATAGAGAAGAAGAGCCTGGGGTCTGGTAGGTCCACCAGCTACTCACCGTTTTAGATTTTCCCCTAAAGAAGAATCAGGAAAAAGAGTTGAAGGAGCAAAAAAACAGATGTGCTTTTGTTACCTTACTGACCTGCCTTATATAGAATTGAAAAAGTGATAGTTACAACCTCTTAGATTTCCTTTTCAAGGATCAAGTGAATGTAGCTCAAATGTCTTGCCTTACTAATTAAACCTCTCTTTTTTTCTATTTATATCTCAGGGGAATGTGGGTGGGAACAGCCAATTTTAAAAAACAAACCTCAACAACCCTTAACTAAGGTTTCAATTCTGCAAACGAACCCCCTTGGCAAAGAGTGGAGAAGATACTAGAAGCCCGGTGAGGAGGAGGCAGTGGCTGAAATAGGATCAACACATATGAGGGTGCTCTGTAAACTCAAAAGACTCCCCAGATGTGAGTGGTCACCATTTGGGGAAGGTCCGTTTTCAGCTCTGAAACTGTGGGTGTGCAAGGCTGACTTGTAGGCAGAGTTGACACACTCAAAGTCAGCGTTACTAAGTGGACACACAGGAATTATCTAGAAAAGGAGATGGGACTGATTAGGTGATTTCCCCACAAAAGTCTAGACTTTGACATTTCCCAGCTCTAACTGAAATTGTGCATACTCAAAAGGCAAAAAGGCAGAAAGGAAACAACCACTCCCAACCCCAAAACTAATATTTGTGGGGGGAAAAATGTTAGGAGTTGAGACAAAGGTTTATTTTTTTGGCTTTTGTTTTTGGTTTTTTTTTTTTGTTTGTTTGTTTCCAGCAAACATTTAGTGAGCCCCTGTGTGGCCAGTGCTGAGCTAGACATTTTTTTGTATGGTGGTAAAAAACATAAAATGTACCATCTTAAACATTTTTAAGTGTGCATACAGTATAATAGTGTTAATGATGTGCACATTATTGCACATCAGATCTGTATAACTTAATCATTTGGAAAAACTGAAACTCTATATCCATTGAACCACAGTTCCCCTTTTCTCTCTCCCTCAGCACCTGGCACCCACCATTCTACTTTCAGTTTCTGAGAGTTTGACAGCGCTAGGTAGCTCTTGTAAGTGGAATCAGGGCAATATTTTATCTTTTGGTGACTGGCTTATTTCACTTAGTGGCATGTCCTCAAGGTTCATCCATGGTATAGCCTATCACAAGATTTCCTTCTTTACTAAGCTGGATTTAAGTGTTTTTAAATGTACAAAAAGAGACCCCATGTTGCAATCAGAAACATACAGTGGCTGAGAAGTAGACAATTCAGAAACTCTAGACTGGGCCCCAAGACGCTGCCCTGGGTAATGCAGCCCAGATGGTCATCTCCAGTTTGCCCCAAAATATATTCTCCTGCCTCCACCTCAGCGTTGGACGTGTCTCAGTGTCATCAATGAAAAGTTTCTCTCAGGGATACCTATGGCATTTCTTAAATTACCAATCCCTTGTCAGGCACCATATCTGTCTTGCTTACATTTTATACACCAATGCCTAGCACAGGACTGATCTAGAGTTAGGTACTTAGTAGTTGTTATTTGATGAATGAATACATAAAAACAACAAAAAGAACTTGTAAACACTCTTCCCAACCAGCATCAACATACCCAGCCATTTAAAAAGTTCCTAAAAATAAGTCTCAAGAGTTTTGAATTCGGTTTCTGACATTCAGTTGCCATAGAAACCAGCTGAGCCCTTTCTTTCCTTGGAAGTGTTTACGATTGCCCAGAGAGATGAAAACATTTTTTAAAAATCTGCCCATTTAAATGAAAATAGCATATGGGTTAAACCAAGATACCTTAGACATCCGTGCTGTTTTTCTGATAGAAAGTAAAGAAAACCAGAGACCCAGTAAACATGCTGTCTGAATCAAAGAGCCACCCAAGAGCATGATTTGAATTCCATCTTATACAATCTGGGGTTCAAAATGTTGATTCACACAAAAGGACAAATACTGTGTGATTCCCCTAAGGATCAAGTGCAGATCTGCAAACATTCAGAGAGGTCTCAGAGCCCCTGTTGAGTTAAGATGGCTAAAAAGGTTAAGATGATTTTTTTTTTTCAGAGACAGAGTCTCGCTCTGTCACCCTGAGTAGAGTGCAGTGACATCAACATAGCTCACTGCAACGTCAAACTCCTGGGCTCAAGTGATCCTCTTGCCTTAGCCTCCCAAGTAGCTGGAACAACACCTGGCTAATTTTGTTATTTTTAGTAGAGATGGGGTCTTGCTCTTGCTCAGGGTGGTCTTGAACTCCTGAGCTCAAGCCTCCTGCTTCGGCCTCCCAGAATGCTAGGACTACAGGCATGAGCCACTATCCCCGGCCCAAGATGATAAATTTTATGCTTTGTGTATATATGTGTATTTTATGTTGTATATTATATTTGTGTTATATAATGTACATGTATATTATGCATATATCAACAATTTGAAAGTATTCATTCAGTAATCTTCATTATTTTGGCCACCCAGGAAAGAGCAGGAGGAAGATTTGGAAGTAGGAGACCAGCTCTGTCCATTTGTAGCTGTGTGGTGCTGGGTTCCTCTTGTAGGAAGTAAAAATAATTTAAGTGCCTGCTCTGTCATCCTCCCAGGAGGGTTCTTTTGAAGATCATAGGATCAAGTGCAGATCTGCGAACATTCGGAGAGGTCTCAGAGCCCCTGTTGAGTTCCACCCCTGTCCAGGGATTGCTAGAGGATTTCATCTGGTATATCCATTCTACTTGATCAATAGGGGCTTCATGGAGTAGGAAGAATAGGTGCTGCGATCAACTAGCAATGTCTGCAGGGATGATGAGTGGCAGCCTGGAAGCCAGGGAACTTGGCTATCTTGTCCTGACCTGGTTGGACTGTGTATTTGGAATTTGCTACTGCCGATGGCCCTGGTCTCCACCGGCTGTTGCAGATGACTGGTGCTGTCCCAATTAATCAGCTATTCCAAATCTCCACTGTGCCTCTGAATTCCTCAGACTCCCTCTACTTGGAGCCCACACACTGATCACCTGCTAATTGTGTGGTTCTGTGACATCTCTCCAGCCACACTGCCTGGCCCAGGTGTCCTCATGTCCTCACTGCCTCTGCCCAACTCTGGCTGCCTTACTGAAGACAAAAGTCTTGAATGCATCTCAGACCCTCTTTCCAACGTGTATAACGTGCTCGTGAACAGCACAGCTGATCCACTTCCATACTCTCTCAATAGATATCACTTCCTAAATATCTTTCAACTTCATCTTTTCTTCATGCTCTACTGTCACAACCCTAGCCCAAGCCAACAGTGTCTCCTTGGGAAACAACTAACTGGCCAACCCTCATCCACTTAAGCTCATGTCCACCTAACCAGGTGGATCTCTTAAAAACCCAAGTGTGGGCTGGGTGCCGTGGCTCACACCTGTAATCCTAGCACTCTGGGAGGCTGAGGCAGGGAGATTGCTCGAGGTCAGGAGTTCAAAACCAGCCTGAGCAAGAGCGAGACCCCGTCTCTACTATAAATAGAAAAAAATTAATTGGCCAACTAATACATATAGAAAAAATTAGCCAGGCATAGTGGCACATGCCTGTAGTCCCAGCTACTCGGGAGGCTGAGGCAGGAGGATTGCTTGAGCCCAGGAGTTTGAGGTTGCTGTGAGCTAGGCTGATGCCATGGCACTCACTCTAGCCTGGGCAACAAAGTGAGATGTTGTCTCAAAAAAAACAACAACATAAAAAACCCCAAATGTGTTTGTTTCCTTGGGGCTACCATAACAAAGTCCCACAAACTGGGTGGCTTAAGACAACAGAAATTTATCATCTCACAGTTCTGGAGAACAGCAGTCCAAAATCAAGGTGTCGGCAGGGCCGTGCTCTCTCCAGAGGCTCTACGTGAGGCTGCTTCTTTGCCTCTTGTAGCTGTGGTGTTTGCCGGCCATCCTGGACGCTCCTTGGCTTGCAGCTGTATCACTCCAACCTCTGTCTTTGTTGTCACATGGCCATCTGCTTCCTTTGTGTCCCCTTCTTACAAAGACATCAGTTATATTGGATTAGGGACCCACCCCACTCCAGTATAACCTCCTCTTAACTAATTACACCTCCAACGACCCTATTTCCAAATAGGTGCTAGGGATTGGGACTTCAACCTATCTTTTGGGGGGACACAGCTCCACTTGTGACAACAAGCATGTGGCTCCCCTCTCTTCCCATTCCCAATCCCCAAGTCTGTTATTGGCTTTCACTTTCTTAGAATAAAGACAAATGTCCTTCCTATGGCCTTGAAGGCCCTGCATATATTCTTTCAATAGATGTCACTTCCTAAATATCTCTCAACTTCCTCTTTCTTCACGCTCCACTGTGACTACCCTCGCCCAAGCCAATGGGGTCTCTTTTTTTGTTCTCTTTCGACTTCTCTGGGCTTATCTCACACCATCCTTCCACCTGGGAGTCCCTCTAGTTCCTTGAATTTGTCACCCTC